CTCAAGCCTCTATTGCTGACTCCAGAGTTAATCCCTATAAGGAGTCTAATTAATGCCAACTCATTATCTTGTCATTGGGGCTGGAAAAACAGCACATCTTCAAAAAATCCAAGTCTCTTTTGAGGATTTGAATGGCTCATTTTAAAGTATAAATTTGTAAAGCACTTTTCTTGCCATATTTATAGCAACAATGTTTGATAAATGTTTTCACCTGAAGACCATGGGATGGCAAGGAGTCTTTCCCAAGGGCTTTAAGGAGTCATTCTCACTGTACACAGGCCACCCTTAAATCTGATGTTTGGCAGAGTAATCATTAGAGAAAAGGAAAAAACTGTTCATCCTTCAACATATGTAAAAGCAGCAACTTTCTGGGTTTCCACATAGAAACTGAAGCAACAGTCAGTGTAATTGCAACACTGTATTTCAATAAACTCTAAATGATGTGATTAAATGCCCAAACAGTCAATGTTCAGAGAAATGCTGGGTGACAGGATCTCATGTCTGTAATGAGGAGTCTCCTGTCAGTCTCAGAACAGTTCATGCACTCAGTCAGGTCCCAGTGGAAGCAACTCCTGCACCCTCCCAGCAGAGTGGGAGCACTGAACACCCAGCCCCAGATGCAGGAGGAGATCCAAGGGCAATCCATGCCCACTTCCCAGTACAGGAGTGTGGGGAGGGTGAAGAGATGAACACTGGAGGAAAACCAACACAAGCTGCTGAAAGGCTTCTGAAAGCCACTGGCACAAACAGAGTGTGGACACTCCCATCAATGACAGGTAAGACACTTTTTGCAGCTCTACACTTGTGACTTCAGAGGGATTTGTGCACTGACCTCACTGCTGTCCCCTAAGATGGGAATCCACCCTCCAAACGGGGAAAACCTCAACATCTGGAAACTTCACACACAACTGACCTCTGCAGGATCAGCCTCTATAATCAGGCACATTTCAGGATGTGTTGAAATCACAATAAACTTTCCTAATATTCTCCAGTATCCATTTCAGGCCTCATCCTTCCAGTAGAGCTTAATTAATATTCTTGTGTGTACAACAGCCCCACTAATATTCAGACAGAACCTTGAAAAATCCAAGGACAATAAGACAAAATACAATACAATCTCCCAGTAAACTGATCAATACTTGCCAAAAATACTTGTCTGCAAAAGAAAAATGCTACATGGAAGCTGCTGCAGAGCTATCAGTGTAATTCAAGCAGAACACGCCTTTTCCTGTCCTCTATAATCTGATCTAGCACTTGCAGAAACGTCACAGAAAAAGTTGTGATCCAGAGGTGAGTGCATATCCTCGAATCCTTATTGTATCACCTGTGCCTGCAGCTCTGTGCAAATATGGACAAAAATAAAGTGGCATCTCACATGAATCTCACATCTCTGCAGCTTTCTGCCTTTAAAACACCCAACAACATCCACTTCCACTGCAAGTAGGGCAATAAATATCTGTCTGAAGATCAACAACTGCTGGTAGCAAAGATCAAAACCCACCCAAAAGTTACCTTCAACAAGAAGGAACACTGAACACATTCAAAGCTTATCACACATCTGAGGCTCTCATCACACTCTTCCATTCTCAGAGAACAATGAGGCTCCTGGAGAATACTCCCAAATGCTTCTCTGTTAACAGCTCTCACAGCAAGCTCAAGAAATGCCTGACATGAGAGGGAAGCTCAAGGCTACTCTCACTCACAAGGGCCCTGCTCAGTGCTCCCAGCACCAAAGGCTGCTCAGCAAACCCTCCCAGCACACTCTGAAAGCTCAGCAGCACAAACAGAAGAGGCAGGACATGCCCAGGTAAGCCAGCCTGCACGCTGCAGAAGGGACAGAGTGGCTCTGTTTATCCAAGTCACTTCAGATTTTTACCGGAAACCAAGCACTGAGGGGAAATGTGAAATGTTAATGAGGTGTCAGGTGTTGGGCTGATTCAGATCAATCTGTAACTCAGCCCTGCCACCCTCCTGAGAGGCCAGAGGAGAAACAAGCCTGGGGGATGCAGGAGAGAAGCCTGAGGATGACCAGAACCTCCAGTGTGAGTTCCAGAACAAGCACCTGGATGAGGCTGGTTTGCAATAAAATGTGAGGGATTATAACACCAACCACCTGGGAAGCACTGAAGTGCCACATATTGCACTAAGCTGTAATTAGCTTTTCCAGCTTTAAAGCACTACACAAGCATGACCTAATGAATTTTCATAAATGCTGCTGCTAGTGGCCAGAAGGCCCCTATTTTTACACCAAGGGAAATAAATCATATTGGCCATCCCATGACCACTTGAGTTAACAAAATGAGGAAGGACACTCCAGTGAACTAGACATGGAAATGCTGATTCCTAATTCCATTAAAATACAACCAAGTTCTTTTTTTTTGCTGCTATAAAAAGATCTCATTGTTTCCTTAGGCTCCCAACATCATCAGTAAAAGATCCTGGAGAAAAACAAAAAGGCAAGAGAAGCTTTACAAGCCCTCACAAATGTGTCTGTGTGTTGATGTTTTAACCATATTCTTGCAGAAATCTCAATTCTAAACCTTTTTTCTCTACCCAGGCTACAAATGGCATCTACACTACACATTCTTGCTGCGTTTTTTCCAGAATTTATGTGTAAATTTGGACATTTTTCACTCCTTACCCATCACTGCTCCATTTCCCATTTGCTCACCTCTACCTCTGTCCCAGAGTGTCCTATTCCCATGGCAAACACTTCCCACTGTTTCTGCCTGTGCTCTCTTAGCATGAGCCACGTTTTTCAGCCTGAAAAGCAGTTAGAGCAGATCCAGCCCAATAATGCTCCTCTACTACGTCAGTCCCAGAATTTTATATCATTTTTAGTGCCACTTTTCCCTCTCTCCTTCTCATCTCATCACTGCTGCTATCTCCCATCATATTTTTTTTTTTGCCACAAGCAGCTAAACTGGAAGCAGAACAGTATTTTCCTCTTCTTCCCCATTCTAGAGTGTTAAAAGTTTTCAGTCTGGAGCCTTCACTCAAGAGTCAGTACTGACACGCCTGAAGTGTCTGTGTCCCTCCCACCTTCCGGGACACGCCTGGCACTCCCTCCTTAACCATTTGTGTCCCTCCTGTCACAGCACAGGAACCCTCTGAGCTCTCCCTCAGCCACAGCAAGAACCCACACTGCTGCAGGAGCTTCCCTCTGCTCTGTGCCCACACGGAGCTCTGGGGTAACACTGAGACTTCATGCTCGGCCAGCACAGATCACAGTGCCTGCACTCCACACAATGACATCATTCAGCTGCCTCCTTTTTTTTTTTTTCTTTCATGTTTATAACTTGGCATAAATATGTCCAGCTGAGATTTTGAAAGGATTTAGGAAATAAAGTAATATAAGAATAAATAAAGCAGTTATCTTGCTTTCAAAAATTATTAGGATAGTACTGAACTATTAAGAGCACTTAAAAATATTCCTGAGTTTTACCTAAAGCACAACATGATAAATATATATTTTTGCAGATAAATGAACAGATTTAGGGATTTACAGAAGAAAGCAAAAGCTTTCTTTGTGTAAGGTTCAGAAGAACAAATTCTTCACTACCCTCTTCACAACCCACTCAAAGTGAAACTCTGCACATGTTTCAGTTATGGAAAGAAGCCACTTCCCAGGGCCTCAAGATGACAGAACAGTAATTGCTCCCTTCCCTTTGCTACACAACCCCAAGTCACCCAACATGTTTCATCGAAGACAAAACTGTTTTATTGAACAGATTTTAAGCAGATCCCTCCAGCACAGCAATTACAGCACTAGAAATCACATCTGCACCAGAATCTTGACTACAGAAGAGCAATTACTCTTTTATGATCACTTGAAGGTGAAACTCAAGGAGCACCAGGTCTGCTTAGGAACTTATTTACAGAGCTGAGCCCAGGGCTGGGCAGGTGATAGGGCACTGCAGCACCTGCCCAGTCTGCAATCTGCAGAAGGCATTCCGTGATCAGGACAATCCATATTTATAGAATATTTACACAACCTCTTTAAGTCAGCCTATGATTACACAACCATTCATAACAGCTCAACAGGAGACATCATGAGCTATTGTTTGGATTCACACTAACACAAAGGTTATTTTTAAGACATAAAAACACAAAGCCACTCATGTTTGAGAGACCTACCAGAAAAGATTTAATCTATTTTAAGGTTCTCAACCCCCACCCCCACAAAACCCTACGCCACTGGCATACACAAGTCTCTGAAACAACAATCAAATTTAACTCAAAATTTTTCATTTCTTTTTGCAGCATTTGCATGGGAATGGAGCAAAGGGAGTTCAGCTGTCACACAAAGTTCAAGCTGCTGCTCAAGAATCAAGAGGTTTCTTTTTCCTTTCCAACCCCCTACAGAATTGTGTACTCCATCTCTACCCCACTAAAATAAAATTGTGTAGTTCATTATATTTCCAATCCATTTTGCTACATTGAAGCACAGCACTTCAATGCAACAAAAATCTCGTTACATGAGTATTAACACAGACATTCAAAATTAAACAGGAAGTATACAGAGGGAATGTTTGCTAGATTGCTCAAACTGGAATAGAGAAGGGAGTGGTTTTTAAATTCTTCTCATTAACCCATGCATATCTTTTCTTTAAAAATCACATTACTACAAAGCCTGTCTTTTTTTGACAAACCATTTTTTTTGCTTGGCTTGGTTAAGTTGATGCAGCAGTTAATAAAAGGGTGGTAATAATCATATAGTAAAAATACTGTGCAGGGACCAGCTTTGTTACAAAACTTAAAAGCCCTCAATACCTCAGCTTTCCCACATATGAAATGAGGCCGATTACGTCAGAATCTCTTTTATTACTATTAAAAAAGGAGGGGGGAAGTAGCTAAATGCAGCTGTGTGCAACACCACAGAGTAACAGCCAACCAACCAACCACCCAAAAACGCGCACGGAAGCGGCCGGGCTGGCGTTTGACAGAGAAGCAAGGCAGGAACAGAATCACACTTTGAGGCACTGAGAGGCAAATCTTACCAGCTGGAACTCCCTGCGCCTGTCATAGGCGTGCTGGATGCCGCTGTCTGCCCACAGGGCGCGGATGGCAGGCAGGTAGTCCAGAAAGACGCTGGTCTCCACCATGCCCTGCACCACGGTGACGGCGCGCGTGTCGAAGGCCATCACCTTGTCCCCGTTGCTCTGGTTGGCAGGGTCCCCCCAGGGGATGTGCAGCTTCTCCCTGGCGTCCACCAGGACCCGCACACCTGTAGTGACAAGGAAAGGCGCTGTGAGCAGTTTCTCAGCATCTCCTGTTTCATCAGGCCACAGAGGAACAATGCACGCGCTCTGCACAAAGCTCAACGGGAACATCCACCCACAGTGTCCCAAAAACTGACCCAAACCACTGCGCTTACAGCTAACAGCAAAGCCCAGATCTGCTACCTCAACAACATCATAACAGGATTATCCCCATAGTCCAAACTCAATTCCTGAAAAAACGTTATTTTTAATTACTAACTTTATCCAACCTGTGCTACAAAACTCTTTCACTCGGCTTGAGTACAAAGTACACTTAAAACTTTATTTCAGAATATGTTAAAGCACCTCATTTCTCAAGGTTCTCTACATTTTTTCGTTCTTCAAATTATACAAAGAATCTCTATCACTGACAGTATTTCCATCATTGTCTTTAATATTTTCAAAGAGATTAAGACATGTATTAAAATCATTGCACTTGCTAAAAGTATGTTTCTAGAACTTAAGTGTAGAGGAATAACATCACCTAAAGGCCTTCCTGCACTTCGGTGGTTGTTTTGGTAAATGTTCTCTAGAAGAAAAAGAGTATTTTAAACTTCTTTTTAAAGTCCTTGTGAAAAATATAAAAACTCACTGTGCTCATAGGACAAGGTAAATGCAGGGAAATGATTTCTAGTACTAAACTGATGAAAAAATAAAAATAAAATTCCAGAAAGAATAAGCACCTGTAAAGGCATAGGAGGAGATATAAGGAAATTAAGATGTGGCAACAAATGACTGCTCAGTAACACACTCATTCAGTGCAAAGGTGTTTTGTCAAGGTTCATCCCCTTTCCATGGTTTTTCTCTCTGTCAAAGGCAGGTAACTGTCAAATCTATCTGTGACAGCAGGAAAACAGCCTCCCAGACAGATGTGCAGTTCCTACGTGTATACCCTCACAGAGTAGCAAGTAGCTTTAACAATAAACTTTAACCTGGTTGAGATACGTGCAAACTTTAACCTGGTTGAGATACACGTGTGTGATTTCTCCTGCCTTCTATTGCTATCAACAGTTTTTCCAGGCTTGATTCATCAGCAGGTTTGTAAAACAAGTCTCTTTGAGAATTGCTGGATTTTCAGGGGCTGAGTCTGGCAACACTTTGCTGTTTTGAGAAACCACATTAAGATTTTGTCCAACTATTACACAGTCCAAACTGAAAATCCAAGGAGTAATTTAGATAAGAGAGAAAATGAGTGAGGATGACCAATGAAGTCAGGATGACAGCAGTGAAATCAAGCGTCCACTACTCCCCTAAACCATGTGTGGAGGTTTTGGCAAAGCATCTATGAGAGAGGCTCTGCCTGCGGGCTGCAGTTAATTGATGTGTCAGCCCAGTTTCCAACACAACGGCAGCGATTCCTCCACTGCAGAAAAACTGAAAGCACAGGGCTGGGCTCCTCCTCATGCACTTCCAGGTGCATCTTTCCCCCATCCATTACCGCTCATTACTGCACTCGCACTACCAGGAAATCACAGAATCA